TTTCCAGGACGCGTCGAGAGGAAATCCGATGAGATTAATGAGATGTGGGACTCTATTGCCCGTAATCCAGAGGTGCACATTCTTCTGTGTTTGTGTTTTTTTTTTGGTGGCGATTCAAGTTTCATCTTCTGAAAATGTGTTTGTTTCTGGATATAGAATGATGAAGAAGGTGTTCGGACTATGGATGATGATAATTTCATTGATGATACTGGTTTGGATCCTTCGGAAAGGTATGGAGGTGACGCTGGAGACCGTTCTCCAACTCATTATCCCCAGGTATGAGTTAGTATCTTCAGTTTTCATCTCTGACTGAATCTAGCTTCTTCTTTATTTATGGTACATTATGTGTTTTTTAATGTACAAAACAGGCAGAGGAAGGTGAGGAGGATGAAGATGAGGTAAATAAACTTTTCAAAATGGGGAAGAAAAAGAAAAAGACCGAAAGAAATCCTGCGGAAATCGCGATCTTGGTCGAGAATGTGATGGCTGATCTTGAGGTCACTGCTGAGGAAGATGCAGAACTTAATAGACAGGGGAAGCCTGCTATCAATAAGCTTAAGAAACTTTCCCTTCTTACCGATGTTCTTGGAAAGTAAGTTTCTAATTTACTGTTATTCTGTACAGTTTCTTTCTAACTATTGGTTTTGTAATATCGCATATTCTGTCTTTATCCAGGAAGCAGCTTCAAACAGAATTCCTGGACCATGGAGTTCTAACTCTGCTGAAGAATTGGCTTGAGCCTCTTCCAGATGGAAGCTTGCCAAATATAAACATCCGTGCAGCTATTCTAAGGGTTCTTACTGATGTATGCTCCTCTTACCCCTTTAGATATTTTTTACCTGATTGGCCAAATCTAAGCTTCCTTATTAACTCGTGATTATGTCTTGCAGTTTCCGATTGACTTGGACCAGTATGATAGAAGGGAGCAATTGAAAAAGAGTGGTCTTGGAAAGGTTAGGATACACAACCTGAAGCAAATTGACGAGTCGGCGTGTAGGAATTAACTCCAGGAACCTTATATTTGTTCTGGCTTTGGCAGGTCATTATGTTTTTATCAAAGTCTGACGAGGAAACTACTTCAAACAGACGACTTGCTAAGGATTTGGTTGATAAATGGGTAAACATCTTTTTTTTAAATATCTCAAATCCATTGAGTCAAACCACAACCATTTGCTTACTGTATCCTTTATGTTGCAGTCTCGTCCAATTTTCAACAAGAGTACTAGGTTTGAAGACATGAGAAACCTTGATGAAGATAGGGCTCCCTATAGAAGGCCACCAGTGAAGAAGTAGATCCCAAAATCTTTAGTTTTTCGACTTCACTTGCTTAGTATTCACGTTTCATATACTGATCAAAGCTTTTTTCTTGTTCTATTTGGGTTTCACATAGGCCTATCAACAAAGCTCCAACAATGGAGTCCAGAGATGGTGACTTTGACTTAGAAATTCGGTACTGAAAGACTTCCGAATTTGTATATATGATGAACTTCTTATAAAGTTATGTTTTAACACTACTCATTGTTTGTTGATCAATATGCAGAGCGCGTAAATCTGGCCTACTTTCGGGCCAGAGTTCAAGGGGAGAAGCGTCGAGGCAAATGACAATGAGGCCAGAAGCAACCCCATTGGACTTTATCATCCGTCCTCAATCCAAGATTGACCCGGACGAGGTCATGGCCCGTTCAAAACAGGGTTCTCAGGACCAGCGTCGGATCAAGGTAAATCCATCATCGAGTTATCGATTTTGTCTCAGTAAAACATTTAGACTCAAGCTCCTTGTGCAATCTCTGAACCATATACAGTTGAAATCCTTTTCCAAAAGCCTTGTGCTGACTCACAATTTGAGAACTTGTGGTCACGCTAAATGAACAAAAACATTTTGCAGATGAACAAGAAACTGCAGCAGCTAAAAGGAACAAAGAAGAAGCGGTTACAAGCCACGAAAGTGAGCGTGGAAGGTCGGGGTATGATCAAGTACCTGTAGAGAGGTACATTGGAGCTTGGCTCTTCTCTATCTTGTAATCTTCAACTTTGCTTGGATCAGTGTTTAAAGGCCTTGAAGGTGAAGTCAAAAAGACTTTTGAGGCATTGGGGTTATATTTACATGTACTCTTACGATAAATGGTTTGATTTCAGTCTCTAATGTAATGGGAAGTGAAAACACTTTGTTCCTCACTTTCCTATTGAGAGCAGAAAATAATTTTATGTTTTGGTAATCAATTTTCTTTTATTAATAAAGGTTTCGAACGTTTTTTCATTATTGCTTTATAATTTTCCTGTAAACTCAGAAGCAAAGAGAAGAAGAGCAAAATCCCTAAATTTTCTACTTCCTAATATCTCTCATCTACGAACTCCTAATCTTGAAGCTGCAAAAACATATGATCCCACAACACAAACAAGAACAGCAAGAACCAATGAGAAGAGCTGAAAATTAGCTAAAAACTCTCCAGAGACTTCGGAATCGACTGATCTGCAAACGACAGAGTTTCCTTTTAAACCGCAGCCTTGAGGCATCATAGGACCATAGAGTGTGAAAGCTGTCTGATAAAACCAGAGGCCTTGAAGAGTCATTGCAATGCCATTGCATAGATCTACCGGGAAGCTTGTAGGACAAATCGCTCCTGCGATTGAGGAGATAACGCATAGACCGATGAGAAATACTAGGAGAAGATGGTAATAACCTTCTAGACCTTTGTGGCTTGTGGAGTGGAAGAAGAAGAGAAGGCATTCTGCTGTAAATGCTGTTGCAGCAATTAGACACAGAGCTTCTTGTGGCAGAGGAAGTAACCTATGACAAAATAAAGAAAGCATCACGTTAAATCTATCTGTGATTTGAATCATATATATTCATTTCTACGGTTTGTTTTCATCGAAAGTAAAGTCAAGAATCACTAGTAAACCACTTATTAGTTCTCAAAATCACTAATTAGCCATCCTAACTTCAAAGCTAAATACCAGTCTTGATGAATCTATCAATATTCGGATCGTATCATCAACAATCTAGAACCATTTCTAGAATTTCTTTCGTTGAAACCCAAGTCAATAACAACTAATAACCCACTTCTGAGTTCTTCAATTCACCAAAGATCCAACCTACGCTTAAAAGGTGAATACCAATCTTTTTCGAATCTACCGATAACCGAATCATAATATCAACGATCTAGATCCATTTCTACGATTGGTCAAGAATCACTGAAAAACCAATTTTGATTCCTTAAATTACCAAAGATCCAACCTAACTTCAGTACTAAATACTAATCTATTTTCATCAAAATCCAAGTCAAGAGTCATTAATTATCCACTTTTTGAAGTTCTCAAATCACCAAAGATCCAACCTATAACTAGCATTGCCATAAATGGTAAGTAATCATTAACCAAAACCATTTTTAGTACCTCGTTTTCTCGGAGAGCAAAGCGATAAATCCAAGTATGAAAAACATGAGAAGCATCCCAGAATGCTCGAAATCATTCATGTGAGAAGGATTCAATACACCATTAACAAAGAATCTGAGATGAGTTGAGTACAAAAACTCAATGCACAAGTCAATGAAAGAACCAATTGTGACAACGTAAAGCTCCAAGTACTTGAGCTTATCATTGAAACCAGGAACAGGATGCCAAACTCGGACACGAAATGAGTTAGGGTTTGATATGAATCGTATCACTGAGCTCCAAATGTGCCAAACTCCAACCACAAAGAACAATGTACCTGGCAAAGCATGACCTTTGAAAGAACCCATTTTTTTCTGATCAAAGGAGAAAACAAATTAGATCAGTTTCTGTTTCACTGTTATTGTGTAATCTAGAAAAGCTTCAGATTCTAAACCCAGAATCGAAAAATCGAAACTTTAGATTACCAAGGAGCTATTTTGATCTTACTTGTATCAAAGAGATTCAGATTTCTTCTTCTTTTGGGTTTCGATCAAAGCTTCTAAGCAAGATCAGATTCGTCGAGAGAGAGAGAATTTGGTCAAAGTTTGAAGCTATTGAGAGTAGCTAGAAACTTGAGGGGAAAGAAGAAGTTGTTTTTTATGGAGAAGACGTGAAGAAATTGAGAAACAGAGCAAAACCCATATAACAAAATAAAGACTTTGGATCAGAAAGAAAAGTAAAAATTGGAACTTTTTTTTCAGGAAGAAAATTTTGGATTTTGGATCGAAATGGGAAAGAAAAAAAAGAATATTGACCTTTTTGGTTTTTGCCTTTTTGGATTGAAGGATTAAAAAGAGAGTAATAATAGGTTAATGATGGAAGGAAGATAATACC